GTGCAGCAGGTGCTGTTTGGCCGCGAGCCCCTGAGTGTCTGCCGTTTGCTCGGTAGGCACTGTGCTTGCTGTTCTGACCACCCCGTAGCTGGGGCTGCCTCTGTGCCTCTGCTGGGCCTTTATGTTCCTCCTCTTGGTTTCTCTTTTGGATTGCATTGTAGCTTCAACTAAAATCGCTAACAGCATATGGCCTGTTATGATTCTCTCTTCCCAAACTCTGCCATTTTGTATATTTGTGACACACTGCAGATTTTGTGAAGATTGCTTCATAATATTTGTTTACCATCTGCTGCACTCTATTTGGTATCTTGCTTGGATTTTTTTCCTCCATTTTAAGTGACATTAACAAAATCCAGGCAGTACATAGACTTTCTGGTTCTACTTTTGCTTCCCTAATGTGCTGGAAAATCATATTACTCTGCTCCAGGCGACTAGAGAAGCCTGGAATTCTCATTGTGAACCAGTGTATCAGATCTGTTGTACCTCCCCACCCCCTTTGGTCATATCTAGTAATGTTTTTTTTGGTCAGATGGCAAAGAACTTCCATGTGTAAGACAAAAAGAGCTCAAATCATTTTTTCTACTTCTTTCTACTTAGTAGCACTACTTTCTAGTGTTCTTCACCAAAATATTTATGCCTTTGAAACTCTGCCATTTTCATGTTTCTGATTTATAAGTTCCCTTTAGTGTACATTTTACAGCTAACCCAGTTGCGTAGGCAATTAACCAGAGTTTTTGCTTAAATGGGCTGTGTGTGTGTCTGACTTTTTAACAGAAAATTATTTTAAGTTATTGTCATACTAAATTGCTTGGTATGATTTCTACTTGTTATGCTTCACTAACTGCTCATACCTGTGAATTTATTATCTTTATTTTTTAAAATTTTCTCAGCTTTGTTGAGAAAATGATTGAGATATGATTGAAATATGACATTGTCTAAGTTTAAGGTGTAAAACAAGCTGGTTTGATACAATTATATATTGCAAAATGATTACCACCATAACAATAGCTAATACGTCCTTCCCATCACATAATTACCATTTCTTTTTCGTAGTGAGAACATTTAAGATTTACTGTCTTAGCAACATTCAAGTATGTAATACAATATGATGAACTATGATTACCATGCTGTGTGTTAGATGCCCAGACCTTATTATACGTGTAACTGGAAATTTGTGTCTTTTGACAAGTATCTCCCTATTTCTCTCCTCCCCCTACTCCCTCCCACCCCTGCCAGCTTCTCATAATCACCACTCCACTCTCTATTTCTTTAAGTTTGGCTTTTTTAGATTCCACATATGTGATATCATATGGTATTTGTCTTTGTCTGTTTAAATTATCTCACTTGGCATAATGTTCTCAGGGATTATCCAAGTTGTCACAAACAGCAGGTGGTCTTTTTCATGGCTGAATAATATTCCTGTGTGTGTGTGTGTGTGTGTGTGTGCGTGTAAACATCCCCCCGCTACACACACACACACACACACACACACATACCACATTTTCTTTATCCATTCATCTGTTGATGGACTCTTAGGTTGTTTCCATATATTGACTGCTGTGAAAAATGCCACAGCGAGCATGGGAGTGCAGATATCTCTGTAAGGTCCTGATTTCAGTTCCTTTGGATACATACCCAGAAGTGGGATTGATGAATTCTATAGTAGTTGTATCTTTAATTTTGGGGGGAACCTCCATACTGTTTTCCATAATACATCCATTGGCTGTACCAGTTTACATTGCCACCAGTGGTGCACAAGGGTTCTCATTTCTCCACGTCCTCACGAGCACTTGTTTTTTGTCTTTTTCATCACAGCCATTCTGACAGGTGTGAGGTGATATCTCATTGTGGTTTTGATTTTCATTTCCCTGATGACTTGTGATGTGAAATATGTTTTCATGTAGCTATTGGCCATTTGTATGTCTTCTTTGGAACTCATTGTCTTAATAGAGAAGTGTAGCCTAATTTTAAATGTCAAGGCCAGTATCTTGCTCTTGGACTGCCATCCGGGGTTAGATAGTTTGGATTCATCCATCTTCTTGTAGGTGTGGTTGTTTTTCCATCTCAGTCTCCTTTTTGACAAGAAAAGGAATCTTCATTAAAACTACCATTTACAAATAAAGAGTGAATCAGTCCCTCAAAGAGCAATTGGTAAAGAAAACCAATACCTACATAAAATAGTGTATTATTAATCCATCAGAACTATTAATCACTCTGTCATGTAAGCATGATTTTATCCCCAGACTTTATTAGAATACCCCTTTCAACTTATCTGAGATCTTTCTTTTGGAGTGAGACCCCTTCTAGGAGAGCTCCAACTCCTTAACCGCGAGGTTGGCCGCTCTGGCCCTTGGCTTGTGTTCTGTCCACATAAAGCAAACTGCCCTTGGAGTGTTTAATGGCTGTTTTTAATGGAACTGCTAGGTGAGAAGTTATTCTGGTTATTGTCTTCCTTACAGTTTTTTGCTAAAATATTCCCTCAGAAATTTCATAGAATTCTAGAATTCCAGAATCTTTTGTTTTATGTAGCCTTGAAGTCGAAGGTTCAAGCACTGGCTTTCAGAACTCCTAGGGGACTCTTAGCTTAGAGAACTTCTATTGTTCCTGATTTAGAGAGACTGCAATTTTAAGTGATTTTTCTGGAATCTGTGCCCTCTCTTTACAAATTATAAAAAGGTTTTCATCTTTTTTACCAAACTCCAAGCATTTCCACACACCATGTGAACAATGCCTTATTGAGGTCTTGTGTGTATTGAAATTTGAATGTAAGCAGGCCCTTTGTAACCACCATTTAGTTAGCTGTTGGTATAGAAATGAGATTTACAAAAAGCTACTTTGCTCAGGCTGGGAATTTTACCAGATTCAAGACTTTATCAAGAACAAATCATTATAGCTCACATCTAAACAGAGAATTTGGCTTGGTTTTACAACAAAAATGTAAAGTGCTTTCATGTGTGGTAATATGTAGCATTGTGTCCCTTTATACTTTATCTGTGTTTTCCCTTTTGTTTCCTGCAATTGTAAGAAAACTTTTTGACTTTACCTAGAAAGTACCAGTTTCTAGAACCCAGGTAGGAACTACTCATGTTTCTGAAACTAGAATGGTATTTCTACCCTAATTGGGCTTTATAGATTATGCACCTTAAAAAGAAAGATCCAGAGAAAGTGCTAGACTCCTTTTTAGTCCTTTATATATGTAACAGTCCTAGGAATGTGCCTTCTTTGTCACTGAAAGTGACCACTATGTGCCTTTCACACTGAAAATAGGTAGCTTTTTATAGCGTAATATCAGTAGTGACTCTCAGCACCTCCTAGCTATGTAGATATTTAAACAGTGTGGCTTGATGATACTGATTCGTATCAGGAGTGAACTAGCATCTAGGATCCAGAAACAAATGCTTTGGGGAGAAAGCCCCAGAAGAGCTGCTGGCTTGGTCACTGAGCAGGACCGGCTCAAGCGCTGGTTTGCATCATGCTGTCAGATTGCTAGTCGCTGCTGAGGAAAAAAAGGAAGTAGCATTTTGCTCTCAAATAGGCTAACTAGGCGAGATCACAAGCTCCCTCTTAGGGTTACAGGGCCTGGTCTCTGAGCAGGAGGGTATCCTGCACCGGTCGGGAGGGAGGGCCCACCGAGGTGTGCTGGGTGAAGATACATGGGCTGAACTGAACTCCCCCTTCTATTTTCAGTGAGGAGTTCCCAGAGAATATCATGTCAGCTTATTCCGCTCATGATGAGAGATTTGTCTGTTTCTCTAGGCCTGAGATCAGGTTCTCTGCATCTGGTCAACTCAGCAATTAGATACCCAAGAGTGACCAAAAAATAATAACAGCACCGTTAGCAAGCTCATCAGGCACCCAGATGAGAGGGAGCCCGCCCCTTCTCGCTGTCCCCTGGGGGGCTGTGTCCTGCTTCCAGTAATGCTGCTATTAACTCAAAATACTTTTGGCATTTTTCTTTCATCTGTTTATTTAGAGTCTACCACACAGGCTGTTCTGCCATTGATTTTTATCTTTCAAAGGATGAAGTACTAGCTAAATATTTAGAAACAGCCATTCGGAGTCCTGCCTGGCAGATAGCGTAGGATCAGGCAGGCAGTTCCATTTTGGGTCAAAAATGAGATCTGATATTTTCATGTGATCTTCAGGTTCTTAAAACAGTTTTTGAAGAGATATTTCAAAGCTATTTTGAATAAAAGAAGCATCATTCTAATAAGTATATTGTCTATGGATATGACTACTTTGATGATACACTTATTCAAACATACACATTCTGGTTATGTTGTTGGTTAAATCTTATTATCCTCTAGTTTTAAGACTGTTAAATTATTTCAGAATAGCATGGATGGCCACTTGAAGCTTACTTTGGTCAGAGGGTGCCCAGTATAAATGAAACTGCTGAGAAAGAGAAAGAGCTACTAGGTAGGATGGGATACGGGGAGGACTGTATTAGAATTGCTTTGCAAGTTCACCTTACACTAGGTGTCCACATCATAGGGTTATTGTTGGGTTTTTAAGAAGGTACTGTGTTTGAAGCATAAATCATGGTGCCTTGTGTATAGTAGTAGTGATTAGTAAGTGTTAGCCATTTTTATCATGCTACTGTGACCTGACAGATTGCCTGGGAGAGAGGAAGAAGGGAGAAGTGGATAGGGTGCTGTGTGGGAAAGGAAAAAAGTGCTGATAGAATAAGACTGGCCTCTTTCTCTAAATCAAACCTGTTTAGTTATACTTAACATAGATACATGTCATGAATGACATGAGAAATATTTTAATTTTCAGCTGTTCCTGAAATTTTTACTTGTCTGTTGAGATTCTGGTTGTACTCTAAACAAAAAAGGAAAAGAAAAACAAACCAATAACCTCAAAATCCCCAAAATACAGTGTTGAGGATTTGGATATCAAGCTGTAAAAACCAATTGTATTACTCTGCCAGCTGACATGGTTTTGCTCATTTAAAAAATGCAAATTTTATCATTTGCATTTTGTTGCTTTTTAAACAGATGAAGATGAAGATGGTGATCGAATTACAGTGAGAAGTGATGAAGAAATGAAGGCAATGCTGTCATATGTAAGTGTATTATAAATGAGGACTGCTTTTAAAATGTTAATGTAATTAAGGATGCTGTTTCTTGCCATAGTGAAGACATAAAAGTAAATCACAGTTACCATAACATTTTCTACGTAATATGTATAAGGTTTCAAAGATTCCTTACATGAAAGTTAAGGGCATTCTTTTCAAAAGACACTTACTGATCATATCATGAACGTTAGGAATTATGCGTCTTAATGACTTTTGCATTAGGTATGGTGCAGACTAAATGCACTTTCAATTTCCTGTATTTTTTATGCAGTACTTAAAGTAACGGCTCATTAAAAATGAACCCCTGGGCTCTAAAAAATTTTTCAAAATCTACTTTCAAGTGGAGATCTCTTCACCCTTCCATACAGACTATAGTTATAATGTAGCTGTAGGCTTAATGCGCATACATGACTTAAAGATGAACTCTCAGTTGTTTTATGTACCAACCACCCTCCTGCTCCCATCCCTAAATGAACTACAGGGTTACTTACTGAATCAAAGTGATTTGAATGTATCCTGAAATTACTATTCTTTTATGTTTCAAATTTCAGTGACAGTTTGTGTTAACATTTGTCTTAGTACTGAAGTACATAAACAAGAGAAAAGGGTACATTTCTAAAACTTTAATACTTGGCTTAAAAAATTCAGCTATGATGAAAAGGCATAGTTTCCCTGAGCCTGACTGTGCTTTCCTCTTATTTTGTTTTACTTCTTATTTTAAAAATTTATCTGTGTTTGTAATCTGTTTATGAAACCTTTTCTAGTCGTCTGGTGGAAAGAGCATGAGACTGGAAGTCAGGAGACCATGGCTCTCCTCTGGCATCGCGGCCTTAGGCAAATCGCTTAACCTTTCAGTGTTATAGCTGCCTCATCTGTCAATTGTGGATAATAATACTTGTCCTGTCTACTGCACAGGGTCATTGTAATGCTCAAACGGGATAATAGATGTGAAAGCCCTTTTGAAAAGTTAGAAGTTCTATACAAATGCAAAGTGGTATTATGGTGGAAATAGTGGAACCAGGGTCCTCGCCTTCCAGGGAGACTGATCTTAGCTCACAGTTAAGTTGTAGGTTTTTGATAGACCACAACTTCAACCAGGATGTTTCATTGTAATGGAAACTAAAATATTTGTATGGGTTTTTGCCAATAGTTTTAATTTAGGATAGAAGGGAAGAGAATAAGAAGGATGGCATGATTAACAGAGCGTTGCATTCACACCAGCACAGAGTAGGAAAAGTCAATTTCCCATTGACTTCCCATTAACTTATTTGAGAGTCTTTGTGCACTGAGAATTTAGAGCAGGGCTCATCAGAACCTTGAAAGGCCGAGTAGGATTGTCTCCTGAAACGTCTAGCACTAGTATTGATAGATTGGCAAGCTCTCCTGAGAATGTGACGTGTCTGTTTAGAAAACACACACACACAGAAGGGTTCTAGTTTTTTTCAAAGATCAAAGAACACACACTACACACAACAAACCACCCAAACTGCACAAATCGCATACACAGCAGCCACAACACAGAAAGAGCACAACACACAGGAAACACACACACAACCACATAAACACCGCCACACACACTAAAATTTGCAAATCACAGACTTCAAAGCCGAAAACACACAATAACAGCATGCAAAACGTTACACAACACAGAAAGAATACACACACAAATATCCATTGCTGAGAGTACATTACTGACATCAGTGTACTTTCATTATGTCTCTGACACTGCCACACACAAAGGTGTGTTTTTGAAAATACACGTTCAGGAAGGTCTGAAAAATTGTGCTTTTTGGGAAATACTACTGCATGTGATCATAGTGACGATAATCATTTCTATTTCTAAGTGTCTACTATGTATTAGATGCTTAAGGTATTTAATTTTATTTGGTTTTAATAATCTGTCTGTGAGGTAGATACTATCATCCCTGTTTTTAGATGAGGAAGCTATGGCTAAGAGACATTTTCAAGGTTTTAGAGCTAGTGTGAACATGGAATTTAAGTTAATCTTCTTATGCCAAGTCCAAGATCCTTTACTCTTTACACTTTCTCTCCCATCCACCTCTTTGCACATTAGTATTGGGAATCTATCTTTATCATCACCATCATTAAATTCTGAATGATTTGAATTTATACAATACTTCAGTTGAGGTATATGTAGTATATATTCCTTATGATTTTTATTTATTTTCTCAAAGGCAATGTTTATTTTTGTATTGTAGGAAAAATTAGAGTTATGTGATTCTTCTTAATTTCAAAGTTCCTTGACATTTTCTTGAAAGGCACTTTTTACCCTGAAAAGGAATCATCAAGCTGATTGATCCCCAAATATGTGGATTTCTTGAACTAACCAGTTTTCACTTTTAGACTGGGGAAGCGACATTGGTGTAGTAACATTTAATTTTGCCAAATAAAAACATTACTAAAATAAATGAACTAATAAAAATTATCTACTGTTAACAATTATTAACAAAGAAAAATAAAGATTGAAACAGTGGGTGGTACTGTTGCTCAGGAGGAGGGGGTTCCCTGCTCCGGGCAAGTTCACTATGAATTTGTTGAGACCGAATAACAACTCTGTCAAAAAGCTCAAACAAGATTAGTTGGCTGTCATTTTGATCTGTCTTGGTTCTTATGGTTGAAATTGTCTTGGGTTTCTAGTTTTGCCATAAAGAAAACTATCGGGACCTAATCTCACAGTAGATTTTGGTTGATAGTCCTCACTTGCCAACATATTATTAAAAACTTACATTGGTCTTTATTTTTTAAGTTTAATTTGACTCAGAAAATTTTTGAATCCAGGATTTGGGTGGTGGCACAGGGAAGATATAGATGACAGCATATTTACTGTAAAAAAAAATAGCTTAATTTTTCATGTGGAATTCAATATATTTGTAGTCACCTTAGTATTTGTTTAAAAGCGATATGAGGAAAGCAAAATTGAGATATTTTCACCATAAATCCTTCAATCATTCTTTTCCATTGTTGATAAGGGTTAAATGAATAAATAGCCTGGATCTCTGCATTAAAAAAAAAATTGTAATGTCTGAGTTTAAACTTGCAGAAATACTTTTTTCCCCTTGCATGCAAGTATTTTCTGGCTTAGAGCCAACAGAAGCATAAGTTTTTATCAGTAATTTAAATAGATTTTTGTATTAGACCTGAAAATGTTGCCTTTTTAATTGAAAACTTATCAATTATTTAAATTGCTAGCAGCCTTAGGCTGTTAATTTTATGTGTGCTATAATAATGGCATACATTGGTTTTTGATACATGTGACACATGGAATATCGCATTGTGGTAAGGATTTGTCATGAAAATAGGTTGTTGTGTGCTGTTAAATAATAACCATTATATTAAACTAAAGTCTGTTGTCACACATTAGTACCATTTTATGTAAGTTATTTAGAAGTTGTATTCTTTTCTTCATTAGATATATTTTTAAGAGATAATGAGAAGAAAACAAAGCTATAATAAATTGTCTTTTAAGAAAATGTAAAGTAATTTGGTCTCCAAGGAGATATTTAATGTATTGAGAGAATTCAGCAGCCAAGTGTTATTATAGCACCATTGTGATAGCTCTCTGCGTTTTGTTATGAGTTTGTGTTAATCAACAATCTGTTTTTATAGCGTAGTTTCTTGTAAGTTATGTTGTTAGGATATTCCACTTCTGGGATCATGGCTTTTCCTCTGACACTATTGTATCTTTTTAATTCCTCCATAAAGTATTTTTTTAATTAGAATTTGAAATGTTTTATTAGGAAAAAAAATACACCCAAACCTACATATTCTGAAAACTAAATACCTGATCATTGCTAATTATTTAAAGGACCCTGTTAAATATTCCCTTAACATAGTTTAAATTTTTTTGGTTTTGTTTTCCCCTCTCATTTTCTAGAAAGATTGAAGATAACACGCTGCTCTTCTCCTTCCATCTTTTTGCTGTCTGATAGCGCTGGCTTCATTTCCTTACAGCATCAAACATTGCTGCTCTTTGTCTATTGATGCATCAGAAGCTTTATCACTGAGACGCAGTTATAGGAAGGGGTTATTTTAATGTTAACCTGTGCTTTTGGGTGACCTTTCCTTAAGAAACTCAGCAGTACATCTTGCTTTTGTAAATGGATTCGTACTTGTTTCTGCTAAATCCTGTGTTGAGTAAAGGATTTATTATACCTTGTTCTCTCAACACTGACAGGCTTGTATGAGTGGAGCACAGTATTAAAAAGAATAATAATTTTCATCATTTTGCCTGTTCTCTCTCTTTATACCATTTTCTACATTGCCAGAAGAGTATGGGATGAGTTTAACTGTAATACCGCCCATTATGTCAGAGACCTTGTGTTTTAGTGGAGTGTAAGTATTCCCTTTGGTATACTTCCCCATGGTTTACCTTGTTAGACATTGGGTACCATGAGGGAAAATACTTTCTGACCTCTGGAGCACCTTGTAAATTGGGTTATGATTAGCTTTATCCTAGTGTGCATAACTTAGAGATTGCCCCTAAAATCACAGTTATTCAGAATTGGAAGGGAGTCTTAGAGGTCTTATTGAATGGTTTCATTTGCTAGATAACGAAACTGAGGCCCAGTAAGATCAGGTTCAGTTGTAGGTCACATGGCTAATGAATGGGAAGGCTTAGGCACAGACCCAGGTCTTTTGACCGGGCTCTTCACTCCTGATGTTTTAGGTGATGTTTTTGCATCTGTTGAGGTCCTGCTGAGGAAGCTTTGCAAATACTACTTTGTCTCTGATAACAAAAAATAATGCTTTCTACTGGAATGTTTGCATAATTGAGTCTAAACAGAACTGTAAAAAATGCTCTGTGGGCTTTTGAAGTTTTAAGGATTTTGTCCTTATCGACATGACTGAGTTTTACTATAAAATTTGTTTTTAGTATATAACAAAACATTGGGCATATAACAGCCTCAGGGCCTTTGCTGTTACGAAGTTTTATTCAAAGAGCAAAGAAGCTCATTTTACACATGGTG